AATTGAGATAGTTGCCTCTGAACTATATTTTCTAGTACTTTAGATAAGATCGGAAGAATGGAAATAGGGCGGAATTGGGATAAAGATGTAGGATTAGAAGTTTTTGGAAGGGGAATGATGAATGCTTTTTTCCAGCAAGTCGGAAAGGAGCTCGTCTCAAGCGAAGAAGAGATAATGTGAGTGATAATAGGGACAAGTTCATTAGTGATAGGTTTAATCATTTGCATACAAAGATTGTCATAGCCAATAGCTTTAGTGGAAATAGATAAAAGGCATTTTTTTATGTCACCATCAGTAACTTTACTGAAATTAAAAGGAGAACACAGCGGTTTAGGAATATTGGAGAGAAGATTAAGTGTAGTAGACTTAATAGAGTCATCAATAGAAATCGGAGGCTCAGAAAAGTGCCGGTTGAGTGCAGTCAAATCAAACGAGATATTAGGATCAATATATGATTTGCCTATACCCAGGGTTCTAAAAAAATTTCCACATCTGAGCGGAATGAGAATTTTCAACCTCATCATAAATATGTCTCCTCTTAGCATCACGACACATCTTACTACAGCGATTACGCAGTTTTTTATATGTGAATAAATTTTCATTAGTAGGGTGCTTCTTATAACGCCTCTTAGCTTTATCTCTTTTGGCCATTACTGCTTTTATAGACTCTGAAAGCCAGGGAGCTGGAAAGTGTTTAACCCTGACTCGCTTAAGTGGTGCATGTGTATCGAATAGTTTTAAAATGAGGTGATTAAAAGCATAAACCTTATGATTAACATCTTCGGAATTTAGAACAGGGGACCAGTCAATATTATTTACATCATCTCTCAAACGCTCCAGGTTAATTGATTTAAAGCTTCTTAGGAATAAGAATTTCGATTTACGCCTAGGACGTTGAATTTTATAGGAGAGGAAGATAAGATCGTGGTAAGAGAAAGACGCAGATAGTTGTCCATGCGAAGCAACCCGGTCAGCATCAGAAACAAGAATAAGGTCTAAAAGAGAAGGGGTATTATTAGGCGAATTGTGAGTAGCAGAAAGCGGAAGAATATGTAAATTAAAAGATGACACCAGGGAGAGCAGTTTTTTGCTACGAAAATCATTCTTTAACAGGCATGTGTTAAAGTCACCTAAAATAATGGTATTATCATAAAGCGGAGTTAGATTAACAAGTTTTTCTTCCAAAGAAGAAAAATAATTTATATTGCGAGAGGGGGGATAATAGACCCCAAGCAAAGTCCTAGAATGATTAATAGTAATTTCAATAAATAAATGTTCAGCAAAATTTGTGTATATATTGGGTGAATGATCAACTATTTTATAAGGAATGTCAGCTCTTAAATAGATTGCCACTCCACCATAACCTTTGCCGACCCTGTCATTACGTATAAGTTGAAAACCAGGGAGACAATACTGTACCGACGGAAGTTCAGGCTTTAGAAAAGTTTCAGAAACAAGTATGGCATCAACATATTTAGAATCGAAGGTTGATAAAAGATCAGCGTAATGAGCATGAATGCTTTGAGCGTTAATATGGACTATATTAAGATTTTTACTATAATTACAGAATACGGCTACTAGTTGATCATGTAAATGAGTGGAATCATCGCTTAAGGCGCTTTTATAGGTCTTATCGGATGAACTAGAAGAAGAGCAAGAAAAATAACTATCATCAAATTCCAAAATATCACACATGCTAATCAAAACTATAACATAAACTAAGCTATAACAAAATCAATAAAAATTAAATATATACTTGTATAATGTAAAACAAATAAATATTATATAAGTCTGGATATAATACCTACAAAATAAATAATAATATGTTATGAAATATTATGAAACTGTAAATATATTAAAATTAAAATAAAATTACCAACAATTATGCACTTAACAAAACATTTCTTTCATACCTGCCGGCAGTGGCATCGGTAGAATTTTATATTTAGATAACTTACTGTAATAAAAAAAAATATAGAAAAAGCACAGTCTTACCATAAATAATAAGACAGACAAATATTATCTACGGATCTTGTCTGGCAAAAAGACTAGTAGTATAAGCAATCGAATGACAGCATGACAGATATTAATAGCTGTCACTATGATTTATTTAATCACTAATGTCATTGTGTCACATAGTAAACAAAATTATGAAGGTAAATTATTATAATATTAGAGATAACTACCAACTACGATGTTTCAGTTAACACACAAAATTGAAGAGATGCAACACTATGCAAATGGAGACTACACAAAAATACAAATAAATTGTGGTAAATAAACACTAAGTTAACGCGAAGACACTATCTCTTGCCTGCGGTGCCAGTACGTCGACTTTTGGAAGCTCCAGCTGGTTCCCTGACCGCGGTCGTTGTCTTCGACTTCGACACAGGAGGCTCAGCAATTTTATCGAGTTCGATCACAGAGCTAATGCGATGTCGAACACCACCGCTACCCAGTACAAAAACAAGCCTTCACGTGTCCAGCAATTCGATATTCCATATCTCCGTCGAGCTGCCATAAAGGCTTCATGTCGAGTTTTAGTTAAAAACTCCGACAGAGTGATACCAGTGCCCTTCAAACACGTCTTAGCTTGCCAGATTTTGTTCTTCACCTCTAACTCACACAACTTAAACAAGATAGGTCTTGGTTTGTCGGAAGAAGAAGTATGGCCCATGCGATGGCAGCGAGATATATCTTTGTCCGAGAAACCAGACAACTTGAAACGGTCAGCAAAAGTCTTCACTAATACCTGTACAGTGTCCTCGTTCTTTTCCTCTGGAAGTCCATGAAGTAATAGAATCTTCCGCCGGCTCTGCATCTCCATATTATCCACCTGGTGCATCAACAGGCCTACCTGGTCTTGAAGATTGCGTAGGGCTGTCATGATAAATAATCTGAATGAGGAGAACTCGGATGTCAAATTGGCAATGGAGGCTGAAGGTGCTGCAGCTTGAATCTCACTTTGATAGATATCCATGCGCTGAGTAAACATCTTCTGGAGTTGTGTTATTGAGTCTTGAATGGCATCCATTTTGAAAATATCTTGTGCAGTGATAATGTAAGAAAATTGTGAGACAGATTTTTATTGACTAAGTTTGTAAAAAGCAAGGATTTTACTGCCTGGCAGGTATAATGGTTAGTACATTAGTTTCACATATAGTAACAACACTATTGTAATGTTTTATATATTAAAAATTATATTAAATTGGGAGACTTCACTAAAGCAATGTACTTATTGCACCTACCCACACTAGAAAAAAAAAAACTTCGATTGGCCTTCCACGATGAAGCCCATCTCGTGCCACTGTTTACAACTGGTTTAATGAGTTTAAACGTGGTCTCACTAATCTCACCGATGATCTGCGTGAGGGACGGCCTTCTACAGCGACGACTAATCGAATCCTCCTTCACCACGACAATGCCTCGTCGCACACCGCCAAGCAAAAAATCGACTACTTGGCGACGTCAGACGTGCAATTACTGGGTCACCCGCCCTATAGCCCTGACCACGCACCTTGCGATTTTTATTTATTTCCGAAAATAAAAGAATAACATCGAGGAAAAAGTTTTATGGACGCCGAGAAATACGACGTCGAAGGACGAGTGGGCAAAGTGCTATTCTCAGTGGTTCCGTCGGATGCAGCGATGTATTGATGTAAATGGAAACTATTTTGAAAAGATATAATAAAACTAATAACTTGCTAGTTTGTTCAGTTTTTGATTTTCTAAGAACTTTCAGTGTCACTGAAAGTTCTCACATACTGTGAAACTCACATAACTACAAAAAAATAACGTCATTTATCTGTTGGGAAAAGCGTTTTTGTGCCTATAATTTTGGCCCGTGTAACAAATCTTAAATATTATGTGTTTTTTTTATATTACTTTTTTTACTTTTTTACGTTACACACCCTAGACTAGGATTTTCTCCTGTATCGTGAGGGCAGTTTACATACATAAATAGCACAAGGACAAACATCCAGACCCGGAACAATTATTTGTAGGTCATACAAATACTTGTTTCGTGCGGGATTCGAACCCGCGACCCCCAGCGCAGCCACTCATTGCTAAGCCACTGCGCCACGGAGTCGTCAAATTATATGTATTATAAAATGACAATCGAGTTCACAGCCCACCTGATGATAAACGAATACTGTAGCCCATAAACATCGACATCTATCCCCGATTAAGAATCCAAATGGAGATGTTTTGTCAACCCTAAGTAAAATTCCTTGTTTCCAGTAAAAAAGGTCTCCGGTTCGTTACTCTTGAGCCACGTCTAAGACGCTATCTTGTCTAACGTTTGTGTTCATCAAGTCGCGACGATGCCTTCCATGTAACGTTTTTCGCAACCAGCTGTTAATTGTATCCTGTGTAGAGATAATACTTTCATTTTTCTGTTTTCTTTGATTTTTGAGATTTATAGAAGGGTTTAGTATCGGCTTGAAAACAACATTATGTAGCGGATTATTATTGACTTTTTGATGGCAAGTTTCGAAAAGCTGAAATTTGAGCTATAATTTTTTTTAAGTCTGACTTCTTCCACTGTATTTTAAATAATGTGAGACGTTCGCTTACAAGATTTAGGGTGGTATTTTCTGTATGTAGCAAAGATATTTAAATATATATACTATAGAGCGGATATTGGGAACATTTGTATACAAAAACTGTGAGCTCGCGCGTGTGTTACGCCCTCTAGCGAAATATAGCAATATTACACTGAATATTTATTCGGAAAACATTTTAGCTATTCCCCATTAGGTGACGCTACTAAATATAAGGTAAAAAGCCGTTTTAGACACGCCATCAATCACTAACATATTGGTAAATAAATAGTGACGTCACTGGATAACAGAGGGCGCTTTTTACAAGTAAATTTTCTGGAACAATCTACTAGAAATAATAAAATATAAAAAATATTTGGTAAATATACATTATTCTTATGATATTAAACCGAAATTGCACCGTGGTGAACTTGTAGTGTAGCGATTAGTACTAACGAGTGCTCGGAGCGTGGTGAACTTGGGCAGTATGCGGCGCAGTGCAGTCCAGTGCGCGAGCAGCGTGGCGCCGCAGTCAGGCAGCAGCAGGCGCACGCGGCCGCGCCCTGGCAGCTCGCGCACCACCGCGCGTGCCCACGTCGCCTGCCGCACCGGCGTGTGCGCGTCCGCCACGCTGTACTTCTCCACATTCACCACGCACACCATGTCTGGACACGTGCAATATACTTTGTTCATTCAGTACGTGTACAACCAAGCTTGCTTTTGTCTAAGGAAAATTGTTTTCTAAGGAAATTACCTTTCTTGAAAAACTGGTAAAGTAAAACCTTATACAGGTTTATTTTTCAATGTATATAATACATGGACATGAAAAAAGCTAACGGTAAAAATAATAATAAATAGAACAACTAAAACTTTCTGTTCCTTTTATCTTTTAAATTCCGAATGCGTGGTAATGTAATATTTAATACTATTGTACTATACTACGCACGCACACATTCGTAAGGGTTGTTAGGTTACAAATGTAAGTAATTTTTTGCGAATCTTCCAACGTCCTTCCTTTAAGTTAACCGTTACACCGTCTTACGCGTACCTACGTTCGCCCAGCCGGCCAACAAGTTAACAGTCTTGACCGTGACTTCGTTATGTGCAAATGTGTTATTTTTAAATATTCATAGGCAGTTTCGCAGTGTGTGTACGCACTCATAATCTATAGAGTTAATATAATTACAGGCTTTGAGGAATACTATTTGAGTTCTAGTTACAACTTATTTGCAGCCTTGTTTATTATTTGAAATTGTTTGCAAATGTCCCTGGGTTGAAATAGCTGCTTATCAAATTTGTTATGAATAATAATCCCAAAGAAAGATTATCTCATCTATAAATCTCAAACGTATCAATTTTCTTACCTATGTGTGGTAGGTAAATACTTCCAGTATTTACACTCAAACTATAATTTTGGTCCAAATCTTCACATAGCTTTTCATATACTTTTTGCAGATGGTGCTAAAAAGTAAATAAAAACAAGATTTATAATTAATTAATCTAATGATGCAAGAGAAGTGTGACGATGTAACCAACTAGCCACAACAACACATGCTAAACCATGAAGGTTAGAGAACAGGAGAAAGATCACTACGTACTAAAGCATAGCCCCCCTGTCCTTGAAAATTGTAGAATTTATAGCGGCGCTGACGTCGGTGAGTAGTGACTGCGAAGATAGCTGTTTATGAGTACAAGTAGGTGAAGTTAGTTGAATAATGTACAAATTTTCTCCGCGGCATTGGTGAGAAAATTTTCATGCTCCGTAATTTTGTAATTTTTGACAAAAAGAAACATTAAAAATGGAGAAATATTTTATAGTGCGTGTATGTGCAAGTGGTTTAGCATCTGATCGGAAAAATAGACTGAAAATGACTTTTATTGACCGAACTTAGCGATCGAAGCGCCTCATTTATGGTGTCGATATTTCTGAGACACTATTTTCTACGGCGATCGTTCTCCTGTTCTCTAACCTTCATAAGCTAAACCTTGCGGTTAAAATTATATTCTTAAAGGTTTTTAGTTAAAGCGAAAATGGAATTATAAGAATATAAAAGAATTAGGAATATAGTAGAGTAGTTTGAATATGATTTATTTTAACAAATTAAATATTGTATATCATGCATGATCAAATCAGTCATAAGTGGGCAAAATGGAGAAAGACGATAGAATCAGTGGGAAAAAACTTAACTTTGTGTGTATGACGATTGGCAGCGCCGTAAATTCAAGATATTATGAATATCCTTTGGTACCGGTCTGAGTTGAAAGTCGTGGTCAAAAAAACAAAATTTTAGACCTCATTATGTGTGACAAAGAAATAATATCAGTTAATAGAAGTCCCTATCCTGTTCGTGACAGACGCGTTACACCCTCCACTTGAACTCTCATTAAAATATTAGCTTTACACTGTGCGAACAACTTATCAAAAAGCGAATTGAACTTTTATAAAGCTTATTATGTATGATGCAATAATAAAATATCACGATAAGGTTAACCGGATAAATGCATTGAACCCTTTCAGCAACGTAAATATAATGTTGCAAAAGTTTTAGGCTATACTTAAAAAAATGATTATGTACCCACGACAAGGATACGTAAACGTAATAATTCAAACTATCCAATGTGTTTTTCTCCCAGCTTAATTCTGTGGCCGTGAAAGGAAAAGGGGAGATCTCCCGCCGGGCAAGGTGTTCTGCCCGGGGAGCGGCCAACGCTCCGTGTGATAGTTCGGAGATGTTCTATATATACTGTTTATGATTCGGAATGTTGATAGCGTGATTTAGGCTTCGGTGTGTTTCGCTTGCGGCGCCACAATTCGTTTATTAATAAAACTTTATTATAAATACTATACCAAATTTATAAACAAATCAATAACCCCCTTGACCAAATTGAATTTCAATACATAAGAAAAGATATTAACCACATAAATAGGTGCTACATAAAATATGCTAATTAAAAAATTTCTTCCATATGTAAAAGCTGACAGCTCTGACCACCACTCACAGACACCAACTTCCACTGCACTCCTAGAAATGTAGAACATCGAAATAATGCATAAAGCAATAGTAAAAAATATTAAAAATACTTGACTGTACTAAAGGAAAGGAACCGAACAACATCCCACCTATATTTTTGAATAAACGTGCACATTCTTTAGCTGAACATCTTTCTACTATTTTCAACGCTTCCTTAACAACTGGCATATTTCCCTCAAAACGGAAAGAAGCAAGGGTTGTTCCCATTTTCAAAGCTAGTAATAAAGAGCTAATCTTTGATTATCGTCCAATCTCAATCTTATCTACTCTGTCAAAGACCTTTGAGGCACTGGTAACTCCTCACCTGTACAATCATATCAGGCCGGTTACTAGTGCAATCAATATGGTTTCGTAATAAAACGATCTACTAATACAAATCTTATGGATCATGTTTCAAATTTAGCAGAAGCAGTTGATAATGTCTTGCAAATGACAGCATACGACACGTTTTGCGAAGGCCTTCGATAGTGTTGACCACCAAACCCTATTGCATAAATTGAAGTCATTTGGTATAACTAAACCTTTTTTTTACTTGGTATACTTCATACCTAGAAACACGAACACAAGTTGTATTGAATGGCACTGAGTCTTATTCATTTACAGTTTTATCAGGAGTACCAAAAGGATCACACCTGGAGCCATTAGTTTACTCTCCCTATAAATGATATTATATCAGCCTCGAAGAACTCGACAGACCTCTTATATACTGATGATTTAAAATTTGGTCGAGCTATTAGTACCAAGAATGATGAAGAACTACTGTAGGAAGACTTTATAGGCCGTTAAAGTTACGTGGTGCGAACACAATAAAATGTCGCTTAATCCATCAAAATGTCGGTACACAAATTTCACTCGAAAAAGAAACAAATACCAACCAGTATATTATACTATACGGCATCCAGGACGAAAAGTTGACCGAAGTGGGAGAGATTTGAGACTTAGGGAGTCACGCTAGATAGTCGCCTTAGCATCGTACCCCATATAAACAAGAGCTTAAATGCAGCTAATAAAGCACTCGGTTTTGTCATAAGTGGCAAGGAACTTAAGAAAAACGGAACAATCATTACAGTGTACAATAGCTTAGTAAGAAGTAAACTAGAATACTGAGGTACAGCATGGCCAATTACCATATTGAAGTCAGTTATATATATATATATATATATATATATATATATATATATATATATATATATATATATATATATATATCAGTTGGACATACTACACACAAAGGCTTAAGATTTTTACATGCATTCCTTAGAATTAAGATGATCACTGCTAGATATGACTTTCTTATATAAACTACTAGCTTGCCAGTCAGACGTTCTGCCCTTTTCAATGACCCTTTGTCCTATAAAAAAATCCTTAAATTCGCAAAAACATCTCTCAAGTTGGACAAAACTGGACACTGTGTGCAAAATTTCAACAAAATCAGTTCAATAGTAGTTTAGAAGTACATCGCGGACAAACAACGTGACACGTAATTTATATATATTAAGATTTAATAATGCTATCGACTGCCCAAATCTACTTAATAAATTTTCCATAAAGGTATCCAACTCTACGGCAAAAATAGCGCTGTTTCAAACTTCAATTGAGGTTGCAACTACAAAAGGAGGTGTATTGTTACCCCTTTTTTGGACTTGCGGTTGATTAATTATTGTACAAGATGGCAGACCTTTGCATTGACACACTGGAATATGCTGACTAGCCTGCCAGGCAGGCGTTTTTTGCCCTATTCGATGACCCTTTGTCATGTCTTATTAAAAATCCTTAAATTCGCAAAAAAAATTGTGGGTCAATCATTGGCAAAAAAAAAAAAACTATCCCGTCTCTCAAGTTGGACCAAACCGCACACGGTGTGCAAATTTGATTAAAATCGGTTAAGTAGTTTAGAAGTCCATTGCGGACAAACAACGTGACACGTAATTTATATATATTAAGATTTAATCATGTTTTGACAACCTATAATTTATGTGAAATAAGCATAATATGCATAAATAGAAAGCAATAAATAGTATGTACTGTAACTAATGTAGGATATCCTTTATAATAAATAAATAAATACAATCGCCCAAGCATATATGCTACCTTGTCAGTTACAAGACATTTATTTTGTTATTAAACTTATATTTTATTAGCATTATTACTTTAGCCACTTCTAAAAAGTTATAGTGTTACATTATAAAGCATTTATAGTTACTCATTGCAGGTATGGTGTTATTAAGTAAAAGTTAATAATAAAGTGTTTTTATGAAAATACCGTAATTAACCGTGAATAACTTGAAAGAGAGGAAATAAAAGATATAAAAGAATTTATAATATACCTTTCTCACATAGAAGACATCCGGGCTCACTATGTGAGTTATATAGACTTCTTCCACAGTTTTGGGTTTGAAATCGTTGTTGCTTATAAACAATTTGGGATTCTCTACAGCACTTATTAGCTTTGGATACTAAACAGAGAAAAAAAAAGATTAATGTTTCATTGAGATTTGAATAAACATACACAAGGTTTTCCTTTTTTATTTCATTATAATTGATAACGATGATGTTGCCTTGTGGGTAGGAGGATATAGGCCACATTACTAGTTATTAGGGTTACATTCTCTCATAACTTTTTTAAGTTGTTATCAACCTCTTTATCTATGCCTGCTGCCAAGCAATGCTGCACCCGCTACCATGTTTCAGATTTGAAATGTAAGAGAGCCAGTATAATTATAGGATGTGAGACATTTCAACTTCACCTTCACTAATTCGTTTAAAATTGTTTGTAGGTGTTCATGGGCTCTGGAAGTCACTATGATCAGTGCACTTTCAACCATATTGTCACATTAACATTATAATAAAATAGCCTGCCTATTCATACCAACCTACACTTCATTACACTTGCAAATAATGAAATAAAATGCATCAAAAAAGTGTGTTTACAGGTTTCATTATGTTCTTATTGTCTATGTTGGCGACATTGTGACATTCCGATCTTATCATATAAGTGTTACGTCGGTCACAGTCAGAATAGGACACGGAAATGCACTTATTGCACTAACAATTTCTATCTTCACCAGCTTGAAAAAGTACATTGGACTTGGACCTCTCCATTGTAGGGAGAACGGTACCAGTACCACTCATAAGCGAACACCAAATTATATGCAAAATTATTTAAAACCCAACCCCCATCTCCGGAGGAGGAACCCCCCTATAATAAACACCCCCGACATAAAAAATCCCCAAGAAAAAAAAAAATTTATGGTAAAAAAAAAAAACAAAAAGCGTTTCGTATCTTTGACGTTACTACCTGTAGGAAGCCATAAGGTATTTTTGGCTCATCCCCACAGTCATCGTTTACGACACTACTACGACCGAAAAAAAATCTTGAGAGAGCTTTACTAAGCTGTACCATATTTGATATTGATCAGAAAAAAATTTATCATCGTAATTATCAATTAAGTTATGAAGTATATTTCATTATCCTTTATAATGAGTACAATATTTAATGAAAAAAACAACATTAGTTAAATAGACAGACAATAAAACAGAAGGAAACTGATACAGGTGATGGGCAGCAGCATCTTCCCAGTAACAACTCAAGATAATAAAATACTGCGGTTGCAAGCTCACCTGCATAAGCTAGCAAGTATGGCAAATGTCCTGACCATTAGGTAATCTATGGAGAAAACCATGGAATACTATAATACATACATAATAGAACGCGGGAGTGGACGAAGCCCGTGTAGCCACTAAAATGCCACTAACACGTCAATTCACACGTATAAATGTAAACACAGATGTGTTTTGACGTTACAATCATTTCCAAATTTCGAATGCAAATTATTTAGACAAATTGCATGTTATTTACAAATAAATATGTATTAAAATTCGTCTGTCAACTCAGTGAATCGGGTTTGTGGTAGTGATTAACTGATAATACGACGTAATTGCTTGTATATGTGGTCCCGGCGACACCTATCCTCGTACAAAATAAGGTTGACAGCCATTCTATTGTGAAAACACATAGTATTGTATGGAGAAAACCTATGGTCAGCAGTAGCAGCAGGGACTAAGCAACTCAAGGATGTGTCGGTTCTGTTCCATAACGGAAGAAACGCCTCTACACATCCTAACTGATTGCGGGCCTTTAATGCGCATACGTAACACTCATCTGGGAAACTATCTACTCCGCCCAGAAGAAGTGAAATTGCTCACGGCTAAGCAACTCCTTCTATTCATTGAAGACATAGGGCTTAGCCGTGAACTATAGCAATAGCAGCGATCACAATAGATCTTCTAGGTCGCAGTGATACTGGTCTCTTTCCCTAGACCATGCATAGCTGCTCGCACATAATGATAAAAAAATATGGTGAGCAGTGGACTAAGATGGGCTATAATGAATTAATAAATCAGTTATCACTCTTACCGGCAGTTTAGGGTTCGGCATGCGAGCCCGTCCATGAAACGCTAGAGCGTGTGCTAGACTAACACCGCCCTCGTACGTCGTAACATCACACTCCACTCTAACGTTGAAATTGGACGTCGAGCGAATAGAGTGGATATGTATCACCGCCTGCTTACTGCGTAAGAAACACATATTAATATCACCATTATGAAGTCGTAAATAATTTGTATACGGTGTATTTGATGTAACATTGTAAACTAGGGCCGATGCAGATTTATTTAAACAAAAGATTCAATCAAATGGTGTGACATTGCGAAGACGTAAATTAGGGAATTGATTTAATCAATTCCCTAATTTACGATAGTAAACGAAAAACAAAATTCAAATTCAGATTTTTATTGTTTACAAACCTTCTCTGTGTTGAGCTACAAATAATGCCGAAAAAATTATGTACGTTTTCTTGGGCCATGGGAGCTCCGCTTTAATAATTACAATGAACGGGTCATTGTAATTATTACATTACAACATTTATTCGCAACAATTCGTTGCAAATGGTTTGCGAAACAATATCACAAATTTCATTTATTGTTATTGCACTCTGACAGTCAATCCTGTCTTAATTTAGACTATTTTCGCTAATGGACTTTGAAACATGTTTACATACATAAGGAATGTGTACTTCGACATGGTGAGGGGGAAATCAGGCACACAATAAGACACGTTGTTCACGTTATTCCGAATATCCAATGTTGTCTCTGTTTAAAATAATGGAATTTCGACAACAGTCCAACGAAGCTGTTCGTCCACCGCGCTAGTTGGCTAGACTTTGTTTTCCTTCATTTCTTAGAAATTTAGCTTTCCTCGCGATATTTTCCATTACCGTCGAGCAAGTGGTATAAATTAGTACTAAAAATTGCAATTAAATCAATTGCTGCTGGCGGAGATCGAATTCAGGCTGCTCACGTACTGTGAAATTTATGACGAGCCTGCTTTGCCCCTTATCATGTAGTTAGGTTTCTACGGCTCTTTTCTTATAACTGTAAAATTAGTTTGTTAGCTACTTGCGGGGCAGAGCAAACATTTTATTAATACAATAAGGGGTAAACAAGCTCAATATGCAGGATATCTTTAATGAAAATAAAAATATTAATGACCTGCCACATCTGAGGACTCAGAATGCTTCGGACACCAGTTAAAATGGTTTTTAGTTTTGGTCTCTCCATACCATATGAAACCATTATGCTGCTGTTTGGTATTCTGTCAGAGTTTGAATTCGGTCTTACCCTGGCTGACCCAACCCATTAGTGCTGCAGTAATAATAGAATTGCAGCATCATGTACACAAATGTTTATTTCACCGTCTACTTAGTTTAGTCCTCTGAAAGGAGAAGAAACCCATGCCCAGTAGTGGGACATTTACAGACCGTTATTTGGCTTATGAGGCGTGGTAGCTCAGATGGTTAGCGCTCGCTGTAAATTTCACAGTACGCGAGCAAACCGGGTTCGATCCCCGCCGGCACCAATGAATTGTTAATTGCAATTTCAAGTGCTGATTTACCACGTGCTCGGCGGTGAAGCAAAACATCGTGAGGAAACCGCCATGTCAGAGAAATAAGAAAAAAAATATTTCGAAGACATGTGAAGTTCGCCAACACACATTGGGGCAGCGCGGCGGACAATTCCTTGCCCTAAACCCTCTCAGAAATGAGCGGAGGAGGCCTGTGCCCAGCAGTGGGACGTATATAGGCTGTAACTTTACTTTACTTATTTGGCTTATACTTACTTGTCAGTTATATTTTGTATGAGGATTGCATCGTCGCTCGTCCATGAACCAGCTACGGGTTCACAGTTAACCAGTGAGCACTTTATAGCGAAGGGTAAAGGCGACTGCACTCTTGCAGGAGGAAGCAGACGTAACCTAGACGAAAAGATATAACTTACGTAAGTATTTATGTAACAAGCCATTATGCTACGCAGATAATATCCATTATTTTTTAAAGTAAATAATCGAAAGTAGTCAGTAAGAGATATTTATCAGTTTTTTTCCATATCTCAGTTCTATACATAACATTTAGGTCAGTCTCTTTTAACATTTGCCTTTTTGTTTTGAAAAAAAAATGATGTTTTTATATGTCTTTAGTTTCATATCCACTAAAAAAAGTAGAAAATAAAATTTTGGACCCCCAATTGTAGGCAACATATAATGTGAATTGTTCATAATAATATATATTTGTAATAACTTAAAATTGAGACCTATCGCAAAATATTATACTCTTAAAAGTTTGAATCGTGTCGTAATACAATAATGTCTTATGGAGAACCCGAAATTATTATATATATTGCCAGGCAGACGTTGACCCTTTAAAAATCCTCAAAATTAAAAGTCTTATTAAAAATCCTTAACTTCGCAAAAATATTTATGGGTCACTTATGGGCAAAAAAACTATCCTATCTCTCAAGTTGGACCAAACTGCACATGGTGTGCAAATTGATTAAAATCGACTAAGTAGTTTAGGAGTCCATCGTGGACAACGTTATTTATATATATATATATATATATATATATATATATATATATATATATACAAATGCTGCAGAAGGCTGAATTATTTCGAAGTGATTTTTTGTTTTATTTTAAGTTTTTTGTTCATAATACTGCAGAAGGCTGCTTTAGTGTTATATTTTGAAGTTCTTTTTATTTTTAAGTTTTTTGTTCAAAATACTGCAGAAAGCTGATTTAGTGTTATATTTCAAAGTTTTTTTATTTTTATTTTAGGTTTATTGTTCATAATACTGCAGAAGGCTGATTTTTGTTATATTTCGAAGTGTTCTTTTTGTTTTATTTTAAGTTTTTTGTTCTTAATACTGCAGAGGGCTGATTTTTAAAATCAATAAACGGAATTAATAGTATTAGCGAATGTTTTTAGTAAAAATACCCAATTGGGCGAGATCTCGGAAATCTCGTAATCCGACCGTACGACGAAAGACCGTAAAGCCAGTCTCGCGATATAACGGCGAGGACTAAAATCTCGCGAGATTGCATTCCCTATTCCTGATGTAAACAAGATGGTTATACTACAATCTACTGGAAACCATAAGATTATTTTTGGCATATATACCATTGTCGCTTCTTGACACCCCCGCAGGACGGAATGTGGTAATGGATTAATTTACGCCGCCACTTTATAGCAAATCTATTAATTCAACCATATTTACTCGTATAAACAAACGTGATTATAAATTTAAAAATTAAAAATAGCGTGTATATGTTTGCAGTAAAAGATAAAGAACCATTAAGAGTATTTGGATTTTGAGACCAAGACCGATAGATATTGTACTATTTAGATAAGAAAAAGAATTTAAATAGTTCAAAATTGAATTGAAGGAATATGAGATGGAAAGGAAATGATAATAAAAATGAAATAAAACTTATGGAATTATCAAGAAGACCTTTCAAGTTGTTTACAAGGCTTCTGTTACAGCCTTAATTAAATTACCTAAATTAATAGTTTCTCTGTCCATAGAATGGACATAATAGTAAAAGAATCGAAATGTTCCTTATGATTCACGGGAAGGGACAGGGTTCATTTAAATACTTACTTATCAATAGGAACAATTTCCGTGCTTCCGAAATCAATGCAAAACACATGGAACAATGGCTTGTTGATATCCTTTCTGTCAATACTAATTACTCTGCATCGTTGCCACAAATTGTCTGCCTTGTTGAACACCAAGTACAGTTTCCCTGTGAAAAAATTATTTATAAGGCGAAAATAATATAGAATTAAAATTGCTTCATACAAAGACAAATGTTCATAACTAAAAAAATATTACTTCCTGAAAAATATTAGTTATACTGCCAGTTAGTACACACATACAACATTAACATAATCGAAAAATAAATTAGGAAACAATTTGTATTATTAGTGTTTAATTCATTAAAACACTTTTTTTTATAAAATAAAATAGTAATTAATATTTAGTCATTTAATGGCATGTCCTTGGCTGTGGATAGCATAACCTGAACCATGAAATGAATTTTTTCAAGTTTCAACTGTAATAGAATTCCACTCTTCCAAAAACGTACAGCTTATTAATTCTTACCACACCGTCTGTTTGATAGTTTCTTTTTGACTTGACACCAAAGATGCTCAATTGGATTAAGATGTTGTTTGTTTGCTGGCCAGTCTAATATAGTTACCAGTTAGTTGGTTGTCATATTTTTACAGTGTGCTGTGTGTGTCATTATCGTGTTGGAATGGCAGCATACTTTCTTCGCACATCTCTTTGTATTGATATTAGTTAGTTTTACCTTGTATCAGCCTAACAGGTCCCACGTTATAATCAGAAAAGCAATCCCAAATCTTAACATTTCCACCGCCATGCTTCGCGGTCTTTTTCGTGTATTTAGGATCAAACGCCTTATTTTTAAAAATGTTTTATTCGTAAAAAAGGACATTCTTCCAGTCCAGTCTTGATATAGTGCATTGGGGTAAGATCGGTGATGGGGTAAGACCGTAAAATTCAAATTTCCGGTGAATTATGCTATATTTTTGAAAGCTAGCAATATGGTACAAGACTCCATTTTTTTCTGCCCCGACCTCAAGTTTCAGCCAGTCGCTCCGAAAAGTAGGGCGTGTGATGCGCAGTATTTTATAAAACAAGATAATTTTTGAATTTTTTCGTCTGTCCGGTCTTTCCCTATCACTTTTATTTGCCATTTTTAGCGACGTCCGGTCTTCCCCTTGATGGCCAATTCTTCATCATGCATATAAAAAAATTATGCCTTGTCTTCGCACAAGTTTTAAGCAGAAACTGTTGAGTTTTGAAAAGTAAAAGCTTCTTATAGCTAAATTACGTGTAACCATTAACGATTTGCGCCATGTTTCAGAAATCTGACGTATATGGATGTCGAGAAAATAAAGTTTTTGCCAGACTCTTTTAACTAGTCGAAAATCCGTCCGGTATTGCCCCAACGCACTTACTTCCTTGCAAACGCTCGTCGGGCCTCTGTATGGTGTGGTATCAACGTGGGTATTTTCCTTTTTATTCGCCTAAACAACTGTGCTTCCACGAACCATCTTCAAACAGTATGCGCAGAGATTTTCACCAAAAATGTACATTTTTTATTTCATTTGCGCCTTTAAGCGAGTCCTTATTATAGTAGTATTAAATGTTCTCGTGGAAACGTTTTTCTTTAACACTTTAGGTTTGCCGGCGAAATTCGAAGTTAAAATGCTTCACAGCCAGATACACCATAGTTTTTGAGCAATGCAAGTGATCCGCAATTTTTTATACGACCAATTGCAACTACGCAGCTCAATAAAAATAGTGATGAAGAACTTCACATTCCATTTTCAAATTGATGAAAAAGAAACAAAATATTTTCGATCTTAATTATTTGTCCAACCAGTATTCCAGCAACTTTATACACTATAAATTTATATGTGGTAGAGCCATGCTGCAGTTATATCATTAGTATAGTTGTAGCACGAATGGGTTGGCTCGACTGGGGAAGGACCACGCTCTCACAGAATATCAGTGTAAAATAGTAGCTTAATGCTGCTGTGTTTCGTATGGTGAGTGTAGAGAACCAGAGACCTTTTTTAATGGAAACGAGGTATTCCATATTAGTCCCCACGGGTGACTACGCATCCGCATTTTTATTCGTAATCGAGAATAGATGTAGAAGTCTAAGGGACACAGCAACCACTTACCATCAGGTGGTCTGTGGGCTCGTTTGTCACACTATCCTATAAAAAAATAAGAAAAATAAAAAGATACATACATTATTTTGACTAATAATACAGATCAGTCATAAAAATATCCTAAAACACTAATAGAGCATGTTTAGAATGCACTGAAACCATTGCACTTCATTCCACTGAAATAAATGTTGTGAAAACATAGTACTGGCTTCATACCACTAATCGTTTTTATTCTATGACCACCACTGTATATACACATACATGAGTGAAATATATTTGGAGGCAGTAGGGTGAACACCACACTATGTGTGAACGTTGTCCTAATGTAAAATAAACATACCTTCAGCTACGTGACTTATTGAGGGTTTGGGTAATGATACAGCATTTCGGAACTCTTTCATCATTTCTTCCACCATGCCTTGATGACAAGCTCGTTGTACAAAAAAGTCGTGCGGACTCACTATATGTGAAATATAAACCAACTCATGGCCACCTGGAATAAATATTAAATAGATTATTGAACAAGCTACTATTATTATCATGTGTAAAAATTTGTGGAAGGGACTTGAGGGAACATGTGTTAAAAACATAGCAATCGTTTAATAAGAATCAGCACGCCTTTAGCTTGGGTAAATAAAAAATCTGTACTATATAATGGCTGCGTTTGGCAGAAAAAAGCGCTAGCAAGCGCTTGTAAGCAAAATGGCGAAACTAAACAGTTTTCGGCCAGAACACGTTTGCTAACTTCAGTAGCGTTGACACAATCCGCCATTTTGATTATTTAATTTGTTTGTTTTGAAGTAGAGTTTATAAGTTGTTTTGTGCAATATTAGTTTCAAGTAATATAATGATATGAATAAACATATTATACATGTTATTAAAAATTCATGATTGGTAAGTTTTTAATATAAATACTTTACAAACATATATTTAAATTAGGTGAGGTTCCCTGGTTAAAGCTAACTTCGTGTCCTAGAGGAAAATAGCTACTTACGATTTGACAGCGTTTACCGCTTACGATCGCCATTTTGCTTACAACCGCCCACTAGCGCTTTTTTTTGCCAAACGCAGCCAAATATGATAGTAAGACAAATTGGAAAGGCCAACAGTAACAAAGAGATCTGTTTTGGACCTTCTTGGATATCAAGGGAGCCTTAGTCAAAACAAATTTAATTAGCAGCCCTCTCCAGACAAGGTGTAGAACCCACCTTAACAGAATGGATTATAAACATGCTTAGCAAAAGAATAGTGTAATTTGCAGGTGATACCCAAGTAGCCTTTTTAGTGAAAAGCTGTCCATAAGAACTTCTTACAGCTCTTGTCTGGAATTTTTAATTGACTTAATTATAGGGTGAATGTGAGTCATTTCTATATTGTTTTCTTCTATATTCTCATCAAAGATAAATTGGCAAGTAGTCCGCGAGCAAGCAGGTATTGACCACAACTTTAAGGTAAATCCTAATTAAACCGAAATGGTTCCTTTCACCCATATAAATGTGCGATAAAACTATCATTTACCAAAACTGTTCCGTACAGAGTTGACTGTCACTGGAGGTAAAACAAATAGGTGTAATTTTAGATAGTAAGTTAAATGATTAGTCTTGTCTCATAGATCACAAAATTAACAAGACAAGTATCACTTTGGCAATGCTAGGGGATGATCGGTAGATGTTGGCACCTGTTACGAAATATAGCTTGTACTCGACACTGTTGCATATTTTAATTTAGCAAGAGACATCATTGTCAGCTACAAGACTAAGCAGTTTTAACTTGTAGAGAAACAAGATGTACTAGCTTTTTGGATACTACTGTTCTATTCTGCAAGCAAAGAATGATAAGATCCCAAGCTAAAGGTACAAAAAATAAAATTATACAAACCATCAAAATAAGAATGTTAGAATTCAAAAGAACTACAATCTTCTGTGATAAGTCAAGGACAGGATTAGGTACTGTCTTCAGGGACTTTCTTGAACAACTTAAACATACACATAAAGGTACCGATAGGTCCTAATTTAATACCACCTAAGCGCACAATCGTGGATTAATCGTATGGAACGCAGACTAGCTAGAGGAATTACTCAACATCATTAGCTGCTTTCCCAAAAATCTGTTTTGTTTGAACAAATCTCGAATTTGAGCTATATCTAGGCTATATTTTACGAAAAACTTTAACAAATCTTGTTTAATTGTTAAATTGATATGATACCAAGTGAAACAAGGATGGATTGATAGTATATTACAGGACAGTAAAAATATAAATAGAACTCGTTTTTGCGGATTTTATCGCGTATATTATTCTACGTTCTCGACTTTAATAATAATAATGTCCTCCAGACCGAATTTCGGCCACGGCGGTCTGCTTCAACGGAGGCTAGCCATCGGCGCAGGTCAGGATTATAGTGCCCAAGTGTATGCGCAAGCACAGGTGCACCTCTCTATTCCTTCACCCTCATAATCCGATAGGACGGTAAACCTACACGACCGGAGAGAGATCAGGCGCAGGACCAACGGCTTTCGGGGGTGAGAGACCGCCAACTTCCTGTCTCCGGGCAGCTACTGAGAATTTCTTGACAGAAAAACTCAATAATTGATTTTTTGGTCGAACCCAGGTCCTCATGATCAGCAGTCGCACTACTACAACCACTAGACCAACGAGGCAGTCAACTCCCGAATTTACAGCACCCATGGTCACGGGACGGACAGGTGTTCGACATCCCAATGTTATAGTTAACCACGGCTACCTACAGATTAAAATTATTATTTTTACTCCAATCTACGCAGTATGAACTTATATTATCTTGAAGTTGTATGCTTGGCTTGGAATTTAACTTTATTAGTTATAGGGTACCCAAGCGGATCGTAGCACCTAGCCACTGTCTGCGACAGTAAACACCTGACCGTCAAGCTCCAACACGTAAAGCAAGTTTTGCACAACAACAAGCTTCGGGCCCCGCGTCTACGTCACATTGAACGAGATAAACTATGGTCACAGTCGAGCGAGTGCCCGCTGTATTGTCATATGTCAGAGGGGTCACTGACAAAATTAGCTACATCGTAAAAGGTCGGGAATATAAAATAAGTTAATATACGCGATAAAATCCGTAAAAACTAGTTTTAATGTATAGATATAATATAACAACATAATAGGTAGGGGAAAAAGGTTCTTCGTATTTTGTTCGTATAAAATTGAAGAAAAATCGCTTTGGTTGTACTGTTTGTCATCAGGCTGGTTTTAATGTTATTACATATAGAACATTAAGGGCGGATTCGACCAACTTCAATGTTACTCCAGAGTAACTAACCCTCGAATAAATTTACTCCTTGTTCTTACTCTCGGATAATTTGGTTTGTGTTTTTCCAACACAAACGGAGAGTAGCCAATACTGGGTATTGTTACTCTAGAGTTGGGGAATGAAAAATGAATGAACTTGTAAGCCAACTAAAATCGAAATACATTTGTTTATATAGCGCAATGCAAGACTTTCTGTCTATTTAAAGTTTGCCGGATTATAATAGTGTCAACTGTCACTGTCACTGAACAAACATTAAAATTAACACGCGACTTGTCAGTTGATTATTCTAACCTTACCCTTATTTCTTATATTTTCAAATAAAATGTCTGGAGAAAAAAGAAAACGTAGCCCAAATTGGTTACCTTCGGAAAAGAGTTTGTTGTTAGGACTCGTAGAAAAACATTTTCGTGTCATCGAAAATAAAAAAACAGATGGTGTTACGATGAAGCAAAAATTTGCCGAATGGCAAATTTTATCCCACGAATACAATAGCCAAACGACACACTGCTCGCGTACAGCAGAAAATTTAAAAAATGAGTGGGAGTATATGAAAAAAAAGGCCAAAAAGGAGGAGTCATACAGGAGGATGCATAGAATCCAAACAGGTTAGTTTTTATCCTGCCTTACCTTATCAATGTTTGTGTTGATCCAGTTATTTAGGCTAAAAACCTATAAATCTTTGGTATACATTAGAAATATGGACAGGAGTAACTATGAGCTTATAACTGGAGGAGCAGCGGACTGAGATATGCCTACATACGTTTATATAGTGTTAGCCACTACTGGGAACATGCTTATCCCAAAGATCTTTAGGTGTTCAATGTACCATTATTATTAAGCACTTGATATTACAATGCTGCGGTCTGATTAAGTGATTTATTTCCTTTGTCTCCTAAATAATGGGATTATTATTTATGTTAGAAATATTTTGAAAATGTGAGAAATGGCATACTTTAAATACTTTTACTTTAATAATTTTGTATATTTTAGGTGGTGGACCAACAAATCCAAAGAAAGAAGATCCTCTAGATTCCAAAATAATATCATTAATTAAAACAAGTGCTGTTGGGCTTTTCAACCATTTTGACAGTGACAGTGTTGCCCCAGATAGCTTAGAGAGGCATAATTTTGCTGAGGTTCAAGTTATTTTGCCTGAGGAGCCAGAATTATGTAATAAAGGTTAGTATCTTACAGCTTAGTCAAGGACCCTAGAGAAACCATACAAAATTGTTATACCTTTAAAATTTGGTTATAGATCTTGAGACTGAACTTAATGAAATTCAAAAGACTGGGATCGACTCGAACAAAGTATTAATGCAGGTAAATTAGTTTCTGTAGCTCTATACATTATACATCTGAAGCACCCATAGTATATAGTAAATATATGCTATGTTTTGTTATGACTTGCTAAACATAAGTATCTTGACTCCATTACAATAAATAGTTCGGAGTAGGTACAGCCAAGTCTGTCATTTTCAGACTCAAACATTTTATTGCGTTCATGTGGTTACATAAATAGTTCTTATGTTGGATATATTAGAGCCAAACATGAGCCCTGATAGGGCGTAGCAATATTATATTATATTATGTTATATATCAATTTAATCTAATTAATTTAAAAAGATGAATTTTATTTTATTTACTTAAACTAAACATTACTTTTAGGTTTAATAAACATTTGCAATATTTACAAGGATATTAAAGAGGTATACATATTCAAATTAAACAATTATTATTTTTCACCAGAAAAACTCTGACAACGAATAGAAACTTTTTTCAATTAAATAATTTTAAGCTCTCTTTGAAATTTATACAACGATTCTTCTTTTTGTAGACATTTGGGAATTTTATTATAAATTTTTACACACATACCATGGGGTCCTGATTTAACTGTTTGTAATTTTGTGATAGGTGGAGCTAATTTTTTAATAGGATGTAAAAAATGAGGCAGGGTGTATATTGAAAAAAGGTGCATATTCTTTTTAACAAATGTGCATACTTCTATATATCTTCTATTCTTGCCATGCTGCAACCTGCCCTGTCAAATAAAGCCAGACTTGCCTATAATTTGTGTTCCAACATTGTAGTAGACTTGTTTTTAATTTTATCATTTAAATGTTTTTTGTGAGATGAAATATTATATGGGCATTATGTTGTTAACATTTTTAATATAAATCTTTGTTTTAGGATTGGAGTGATTATACTCCCGAAATGTTAAGAACTCCTGTTGCAAAACCTCTTCAGTATGACAACAATGAGCAAGGAAAACTACAAAAATCTTGGGTTTCAAGAAGGCGACCTACATATGTAGCTCCTTCATCATCATTGCAGAAATTGCATGATAAGAAAATGGAAGCAATTGATTTTCAGAAGAGTGTTGCTGAGAAGGAGCTACTTCATTCAAATGAAGTTCACAATCTGGATTTACAAATAAAAAAGGGAACAATTAAAACAAGAAAAATTAAAGACCCGTATTTTATTATTAGATTTAAGATTAAAGAAAAAGAAATTCAACAATAAACAATAAAATATTAAATTTATTTATTTCAATGTTTTATTTTATACCTTTTTTCAAATTTGGATTAATAAAATTAAGAATCACTGCAATCTACATTCCATAGCTACAATAAACTATAAAAATAATTACTTATTAACGAATTGCGTGCTAACTGGCCAGTAGATTGCTGTGCTGATTCCGAGCTTTGCATTTGGCCAAGTTGTATAAGTTCATCCCATGGAGCTGGCAATAGCACTTCTGGGTCATCAGGTGGAAGTTGTTCTCCTCGTCTGCGCAACATGTTGTGAAGTACTGCTGTGGCTATGATAACAGTTAGTGCTTTATCTAATTTTACTCGCATCCCAAGTGCCAACACTGGAAATCTTCTTTTCCATACACCATAGCACCTTTCTATAGGATTTCTAGTACGAATTTGTGACTCATTGTACAGTTGTTCAGCTGGTGTCCTTGGATTTTCTAATGGAGTCATAGTGTAACTCTTTGCAGCATATCCTCTGTCCACCAATAATAATGCATTACCATAGCGACCAGTCTCAAAATGTGCTTTTCGAACGCTATTATTAAATATAGTGCTGTCATGAGTTGAACCTGGCCATCTTGCGACTATGTCGGTTATTTCTAAATTGGCATTACATATTGTTTGCACATTAATGGAGTAGTATCCTTTTCTGTTTCTAAATGTCTCTGCTTGTTCTCCACCTACTTCCAGTCTTAAGGGTACGAATGTGAGGCGAACGTGTGTACAGTCCATGGCTCCAACTACTCTTGGAAAACGAGCTATTTGGTAAAATTTATCTTGTTCATATCTTATTTCTTGAGGCGATTCAGGAAATTTTATGTATTCTGTATGTAATGCAGCTATTGCAGCACTAACTCTGTGTACAATTTTGTTTGCTGTCGGTGTACTTAGACCACAGTAGTCTCCAATGCTTGTTTGTGTCCAGTTTGTTGCATAATATCTCAAAGTGGCCAACAACTGATTTACTGGAGATATTGAAAAATTTCTGAAAGAAAAAGGAACTTTAGATAACATAGGTACTAACTACTACTACTGCTACTACTTACTATAATATTTTAGTTTTAAGTCTTCGAGCAACACACATAGCTTTTAGAAAAAATATATCTAGGTAGGTGTGTGTGCACCATTGTTTATGTAGACAAATATATAGTGAAAGGTGTGTAGGTACATACCGGTTTGATGTATATTCCAGTTGATGCTCGATTTTGGATAAAAGACACAAAGTAGCTTCTTTGGACAATCGAAACCTTATTACGAAGTCACGGTCATCATAGTTATCGAAATAATTGTTCCTTTCTCTTATCCATCGTGGACGCCTTGGAATGTATTCTTCATCACTGTCAGAATCTTCGATCATATTTCGTAAACGTTGCATTATTTAAAAAATAAAGCCTACTATTATCACAAAAGTACAAGAAATTATAAATGCACAACGATAAAATTTCCTACTTTTACAACAAAGCATACGAAAAAACAGCTGTCAAAATGTAGCGGTCGCCATTAAAATACTCTGGGATAACTTGTTTACTCCATGAATTTTGGCAGTATAGCGATTTACTCTCGGATAGTCTGTTATACCCGGGTTAAGATTTGGTAAAACGAAAAGTTCTCTAACTCTAGAGTAATTAGTGATTTTATACGCAGGATAAGACTTATACTAACTTTGGTCGAATCCGCCCTAAGAAAAAGAAAAATAAACAGTAAAAACCACTTTTCCGCCATTTTGCAATTGCTTTTTTGTCCACCAAAATTAGTAAATCTAACGAAAAAATTCGAAACATTCTGAAGTTTTTATTAGAAGGGGAAAATGCGTCTTACGACTTGGTTCAAGCGTTTTCATTCCGAGAATTTTAATGTCAAAGATACAGCTCGCTCTGTTCGTCCTCCTACGGAAAAGCCGATGCCACTTTCGAAAAAGTGGAGCCAGATGGCATATAAGTACTTACGACATAGCCGACGAATTGAGGATTGACTTCAAAACACTTTTGACCCGTTTGAAAAAGTCTAGTTGTACAAAAAAACTCAATATTTGGGTACCACTCGAGATCACTGAAAGAAACCTTATGATTTGTGTACTCATTTGAGATTCTCTATTGTAACGTGATGAAACCGAACCATTTCTGAAAAGATTGATCACTGGTGATCTAAAGTGATCCACTTTAGATCACCAGTGATCAATCTTTTCGGAAATGGAAGATCACTGGTGATCTAAAGTGGATCACCTACGACAAGAAATTGTGAAAAAACGGCCAGAATTGATCAACAGAAAAGGAGTGATCTTGCATCTTTGGCCACTTAGCAAAAATTGAGAGCTTGGTTGGGAAGTATTATTGCTGGATGCATTAATACTTCCCATATAGCCTTGACCTTGCACCCACAGATTTCCACCTGTTTTGGTCTCTTCAGAATTCTTTAGGTAGTGTTCGGTTAACATCAAGAAAGGACTGTCAAAAATACTTGTCGCATTTTTTTGATCAAAAATCCCAAGATTTCTACGGCAACGGGATTTTGTCTCTACCCACAAGATGGCAGCAAGTTATTGAACAAAATGACACATATATATATTATAATTTAATATAATTAAACTTTGAAAATTAATGTCTTGAATTTGTATATAAACGACACATCTTTTATTATAGAGATATTATTCCAATATTTATCAATGAGATGAGAGCGATCTGGTACCATACACAGGAACTTGTGTTAATGTAGGCGTAGTTGAGAAGACGATTGAAGATGTTGATGATTCATTAATTATTCTTTGTGATATCCCATCACATTAGGACAAAGTCAAAATGTGCCCAATAACATCATCATCTAATACAATGAAAATAAATATTATGAACCTGCATAAAGTTGCCTAGGATGGTGACTTTCTGGAAACGGCGACACAGGCTGCACTATCGGTTTGTGGAGTCCTTCATCTGTAAATATAAAATATGTTAAGGTTTTAAAGTAGTTCAGTAAATTAATCCATTAAATCTATTATATAAAAAATATGTTTGTTCGTATTTTATGCGCTGCCATACCATTCATCGGATTGCAGAAAAGCTTTGTCAACATATTGCTTGCACTTCCGCGAAGGTATAGGCATAGAACAATTAATTTACAGTAGATGGCGCTAGTATCGCACCAACAAATTTATTTGAAAGTTATATATCATTTAACTTCAATGAATGTATTATCATTCCCAATGGAATAATATAACCGTTACAAATTTAAAACGATATTTTCGCATCGCCGATCTTTCTGACTCTTTTTTTAAATCGTTACCCCCACACTAGGATTTTCTCCTGTATAGTGGAGGCAGTTTACAAACATAAATTGGACAAGGACAAACATCCAGACCTGGAATAATTATTTGTAGGCCATGCAGATACTTGTTCCATGCGAAATTCGAACCTGCGGCCCACAGCGCTGCAACGCGCCGGATAGCAGCTAGTAATCTATAAGATTTTCTAAAGTTGTATAACAGACTTCAAAGTAGAGCAATAATTTCGCGTGAGTTGACATCTGTTATTGGAAAGCGACTATTCGTTGCGACACCGAGGTGCAACTATGCCTAAAAACTATATTAGTATTGTATTTAGTTTTTACATAGTAATGTAATGATGTTTACTCTTTATTTTAAGTTGTTTGTACACAATAAAACACTAAAAGTGTAATGATAGCCCCATAGTAATAATTATAAAAAAATTCAATAGTTTTTGAGGCTAACCTCCACATACACAGACAAGATGTTTTTTTAAAGATTTATGTTACAAATTAAATTAGATATAAACTTTTAAAAATTTGAATATTGAAACATTACTATAACACACACATACACTGCAAAGTGTATGTGTGTGTTATATTGTGTAAATATTTTTAAGATTGTAACACTCCAAAAGTTAATATTTGTTTACATGTTAAAGAAACTTCTTGTTAGAATAGCTTAAAATCATCATCATTACAGCCCGGCTTAACTCCACTGTTGAACATAGGCCAAGCTTTCTGGCATTAATTAGGAAAGCCCAAAGAATACCTGTAAATATTATGGTCCCGTATATATTTTAATATTAATTAACATTAATTTTTATACTACCTCTAGCAGAGCTTTTGTGAGAAGAGTCACTATGCAGAGAATTCAATGATGAAATAGAACCACTCTTGGTATGGTATTTTGGTGCACTCTTATAAAATGATGGTGTTTTGGTAGTTTCTCTTTCTTTTTCAGCTTTTTTCGTTTTGTTTAGATGTCTCACATCTACAAAAAATAGTAAGAATACAGAAGATTTGTAAATCAGAGATTTGTTGCCAGTGGGAAACACTGTGCATAATAACGTAAAAAAAGATATAGGTTAATAATTGATACTGATACATTTACACAATAAAAATATGGAGTGTAGAAGTAAGGAGTTGACTGTGTATTAAAAAGTGTCCATCGAAAACCGTTAAATAAGGGTGGCGCCACTATAACTACGGGGTATTCTTTAAAGAACGCACCGAAAAATATTAGTGAGATAGACGACTTTTTCGAGCTTATATTTACTAAATAAAATTATTTTAGATTTTAGAGCTACTGAGCAATTTAGCAGCACACTTAAACCGTCGACAACTGCTAAGGTCATTTCATACAAGTAGCTACTCCAGCGCTGTTGTGGAGTGTTTTTGAACAATTATTTACTGCTTACAGATGGCTACTTTTTCAACTATTCTACTATGGAAGTTGGTACTCCTTACCTTATACTTCATAAATAAAAAGAAACCAAATTGTCAAATGTTACAACAAAGCCAACCACATTTCAGTGTTACACAATTGCACTGCCCGGTCCTGTAATAGCCCAATTCACCTCTGCCAAGAATAATACGGCGAGTTTTCACTCTAAACGCTGCATCAAGTCATCAGTCCGGGCGTTAGCATGCGCTCGATTACCTGTTTATTTAGCTAATCGTCAGAGGTAATTAAAATTTCCCTTAATTTACTTTTAAATAGACGCAATGACTTATTTTTATAGAAAAAATTGTACATGTAGGTAATCTTACTAAGGGGCATTATCCGTGTTTTTCTATCAAAATATTAGAACATTCACTGGAAAGGTCCAATACCAATACAACCTTATTCATCAGCAATTTTTTTTTAATAAGCATGACAAAATAACACATAGTTCTACTTATTGGTTAGAATTTAAAAATCAGTGCGTAGTTCCTACACACTAAGATTAAGAAGTACCAACTGTTATACTGGTTACATGATATTTGTTACCAGTGGCATTGCTGCAGATTAAACACAGTTGGAGCATAACCCTACCTCGTCCAAATATGTCACAGTTTTTGTCTTGACATTAGGTGGTAAATTAAAACAAAACGAAATAACACGCCTAAGCAGTGATTTTTTAACTAATTTTCTTTTGTTTCTAATGGTCCAGCTGGACATGTCGGAAGAATAATAAGATACCCTTGAACCTTTCAATCCTCTTAAAATTCCCATGCAGTCGCATGCATCCGTCGAATCCCGAGCGGTCGTATGCGCTGCACCCACTCACAGCACTTTAAACCATTAAAACTTATATTTATTTATATACTACTTTTCTTTAAAGATGTTTGGCATTATAGAATCTATACGAAATTCTCTATACTGTGGTCTAAACAAAAGTCAGTTACTCTTATGTATTTTATTTTTATTCTCCTGTCAATTTACGACATTTGCCGACCACACGAAAATGGCGTTATTTTACGGTGGATTAAAAATAAAAATTCATAGACTAACTGACTTATGTTTAGACTATAGAATAGAGAATTTCGCATAGATTCAATAATGCCAAACTTCTTTAAAGAAGAGAGTTTATAAATATAAGTTTTAATGGTTTAAAGTGGTGGGTGCAGCGCATACGACCGCTCGGGATTTGACGGACGCATGCCATAAAAACTTATATTTATAGACTACTTTTCTATAAAGAAGTTTGGCATTATAGAATTTATACAAAATTCTCCATTCTAACAAAAGTCAATTATTCAATAGATTAATCATTACAAAAGTACTTTATTGTATTTTGATAACTACATACCGAGCGGATGTCAGTAGCTCGAAAATTACTATTATTTCTATATATTACTCGAAATTATTTACGTAAAAAGATAAATTACATACACAAAAACTTTCATAACAATTTTATATGTAATATAAAAACTGTTCCTAACAGAAAAATCCAAAAATTAACGCAACAATGCACAACAACGAACACTCGACAATGACGCATTTTGAATGTAAATTATAAATGAATATCTATAGACTAACTGAATTTTTATTCAACTAGAGGATAGAAAATTTCATATTGATTCTATAACGCCAAACTTCTTCATAGAAAAGTAGTCTTTAAATATAAGTTTTTATTGGTTATAGTGCTGTGGGTGGGTGTGGTCTCATGAGACCGCTAGGGATTTAATGGAATGTCGCCGCGGTTTCATGAGACCACTAGGGTATTGAGCAGTTAGAAACTTTAAACAGTATTACAGTGTTGGTGAAACCGACAATCCGTAGCGAATTCAATTGCAGGTAAAAGATAGCGTCAGTGATAGACAAGACGCTAATTAAGCGTTTACCACGCTTTTATAGTAAAACCTTGGAAGTGTGGGAGAGTGAACTTAACTCGACTAGATAATATTACGATAATAATTGATGATTGTATATCCATTTATTTTGCAACCAATTTATATTTTTTGGAAAGTAAATACTGTGACTCATAAACACATGTACTCGTAGATGCGTTGTCACCTTTCATAAAAGATGAAATGTCTCATTAGCAGTAAAAATTGTCAACTAAAAATCTCCAGTTTTACAAGCAACATAAAAACGATAGTGTAATGTTGCTATTTAAGAGATTGTTTTCCTTCCCAGGTAGGGTCCAATCATTCTTCTGTACTATATCAAGCAATAATACAGGACCGAAGTGGATCTACCACATACAAGTGCATACTCGTACATTTGGAGTTTTGTTATGTTAGTTGTTGTAGCTTTAATTACAATATAAAAAAATATTCTATAATTTGTAACCTTTGGGTAGTTCAGGGGGATATACTGGTGCTGGTGGAGGAGGTGGTATTTCAACACTTGGATCGAGATGAGCGGTATCAACAAGTTCATAGGCGACATTGCCCTCCTCTTCTAAAAGAACAAAGTCATTGATGAGGTTGCATATCTCTTCATTCACCACCAACCTATAAATGGAACATTCATGAAGTTACAACCATATTAGATTTTTTGCTTAATCTTAATTTATTAACAACAAGAAATCAGTAATAAACTAATAAGGAGGTCGCGCTTTTTACTCAATAAGATCCTGCAGACCCATTGCACATTGTAACTACTCAATGCCAACTTAAGGTAAGAGATTGCAACGTAAGCTCTATATTGTTGTCACATACATGTAGAGATTAAATTTAAGGTAATGTTTTAATGTAATGAAGATAATCTCGAATCATTGCAGTAATTTAAAACGCAACAAAAATATGTATATAAAAAAATAATTGTAAAGTGGGTCTAGGCAAAAAATATTGTCTATGGCATTTTAATAGAAGGTAACTACGGGATAGCACATTTTATATTACATTATTAAAGTGAACGATTGTAGAAGTTACGACGGTATACTGTGTAGTTTGGAGGCATTTATCTTTTTTTGGAAGACTTATTTTTTAAACGACTTAAAAAAGGAGATTTCCAAATACGACTAAACTTTTTTTGTATGTATGTTTTACGATATCTTTGTCAATTGTGAAGATATTGATGATTTTTCATTAAATAGGTTACTCAGGGGCCTTATTCCTATATAAATTTGGAAGTTTTAGGAAAATATTTAATATAAGTATTTAGATGATATTAGGATTATGATATGCCTTAAGTCGCCGTGCATAAAACTTATTCGATAGAGTTTAGGCAAATTCATTGCGGTGCTATCTTTGTGTGCATCGTTTACGCACACACGGCTAAAGATCGAGCGCAGTGCTCCCTTAAACAATTTTGATCCCTTACTTGATAATTATTTTAGGATACATAGTAAGTACGGTTTAGAAATAAAAGTCTGGGATGTTTTTGTATAATAGTTTAGTATATTTATTACAATCAACATAAAATAAAAATAAAAAAGAAATGTGTTAGACAAATACACTATGCATATATATTTAAGTAATTCAATGTTTTCGTTCTGCGATGTCATTAATGTCTGCTAGAATTACAGACAAATTTAACATGTCTTATTGGTATTTGCCCGAAAATCAAACATCGTGATTTCATTAAAACAAAGTTTTTGTAAATGTAAAACATTTAAATATTAGGCCGTATATGAGAAACGGAATGTTAAAGGGATAAATAAAATACAGAGCACGAGTGCGTGACGTACACGTCAAATAAATACTTTAATTTTAAAATTGATAATACTCGTTTATTTTATAATATTTACTCAATGTTTTGAATTTATTTTTATCCATGAGGAATACAAAGTACACATTTTGGCTAAAATAAGCCGAACATGCTAAAGGATACTTGTATTTTCGATTAAAACATTCGGCCTATTTAGTTTAAATCTATGTCCAATATCGGTTAAAATAAAAAATAATTAAAATGTTGTGTCTCTCAGTGGCATTAAGCGAATTTTTCTTGGATCTACTATTTCTGGTAAAAAACCCTAGATCGACAAAGTACGTAACAAACACTATGAAAAACAAAAGAACGCGACTAAGCCTACGTTACGGAGTGAGTATGCAGGGTGCGTGGAGTTGCTATTATTGTTTTTATTATTTTCCCAATAATTACTAGGTCTCAATTATTGGATGGCACATCTATAGCCGCTTTAAACATTTATTTACAAAGAATGGCACGTTGATCTTTATAGGTTCGTCACTCTGCCATAGATCATAATTTAGGTATCTTAATTTTGACCCAATTCGATGCAGCCGCGGGTGGTATTTTTGCATTATTTCATGCGGACATAATGAAATGCAACAGTAGACAAAATCGTATTTTATGAATGGTATCTGAAATTTGTACTAATCATTAAAAAAAAACTATCAAAAATAAAATATCAATGAACATAGCAGACGTACTGAGACAGCAGCCGGATCAACTATTAGGTACTAAGAACCACCCAGGTGATCCCATACGAAGAAAAAAATTATCATAATTGGTGTAGCCGTTTAGGATAACAAGACTTACGAACACGCACACCTGAACTTTTTATATAAAGACTAGGCGTGCAACATATTATTATTCTTAATAAACAAACTATCCACAAAAAAAAAATACTTACCCTGATCAAAATTTGGTGGTCGGCGTACAATTTCTGGAAATGTTTACGTAAAACACGGGAGCGCCTGTGATGCAAAGTGATACGTCCTCGCTCTGGGAAGGCCCGGCCGTCACTGATCGGATCGATTTTGCGCGGTCGATAATATAGTTCACTTTGCCATTTAGTAAAAAACTAAATTATTATTTATTGATGAAATAAAATTTAGTTTCCAATAAAGAGTTATCTTAAGATTGATGTGTAATTTTTCAAATTAATTAAAATTGTTTCTATGTAATAGAAAAAAATACTTATTTCGAACGAAGTTTTCTGGAAATTACGTTATTTCAACAATTTTTTTCTGCTATATTTGGATAGAAATAAAAAAAAAACTGATCTGGATACAAACAAGTAGACCGTATACTAGGCTGCAATAAAATTATCGGGAATGGAATATTTCCACTATTCCTGTCATATTAAAATCCTTTTAATTGAAAACTCCTTGGTTTTAAAAATCGAATACCATTTATTTATTTAAAAAAAGATTCTCGGTCTTGTCACAAGGTTTTGTCAAACTTGTTTAGTCGTTGAGAAAATGGAATTGACTCGAGAAAATTCAAGAGCGATGTTTTATTATGACTTCCGAAGTGGTTTAATACAAAAACAGTGTGTTGACCAGATAATTTCTGCATTAGGTGATGAAGCCCCATCCAAAAGCACAATTTATCGCTGGTTTGCTGAATTTCGACGTGGACGTGTCAAGCTCAGTGATGATCCCCGTCAAGGTCGTCCAAAAACTGCAGTCACCCAAGAAAACGTTGATGCTGTGCGTAAGCTGATTGAGGAAGATCGACATGTGACATACCGCGAAATTCAGGCAACTTTAGACATTAGCATGAGTCAAATACAAATAATCTTGCATGAACAATTAGGTGTAAAAAAGTTGTTTTCCCGATGGATACCGCATTCGCTCTGTGAAGAACAAAAAGCGGCTCGCGTTACTTGGTGATTACAGGTGACAAATCCTAGATATACACGTATGAACCCGAAACAAAAAACCAGTCACGAGTTTGGGTGTTCGAAAATGAGTTAAAGCCAACAAAAATTGTTCGTACACGGAGTGTTGCAAAAAAAATGGTGGCCACGTTTGTCTCCAAAACCGGCCATGTTACGACTATTCCTCTTGAGGGACAAAGAACGGTTAATGCAGAATGGTATGCGAGCATTTGTTTGCCACAGATCGTTTCTGAACTCCGTAAAGAGAACTGCAACGCATCCTCCGACAATGTGAGTGTCACACCGCATACAGAACAAAAGAGTTCTTAGAGCAAGAAAACACAGAATTATTAGACCATCCGCCGTACAGCCCCGACCTAAGCCCTAATGATTCCTATACTTTCCCTAAAATAAAGAATAAATTGCGTGGACAGAGATTTTCATCACTTGAAGAAGCTGTGGACGCCTACAAAACGGCCATTTTGGAGACCCCAACTTCCGAATGGAATGGTTGCTTCAATGATTGGTTCCATCGTATGGAAAAATGTGTCAAATTTCGCGGAGAATACTTCCAAAAGCAATAAATACATTTTTAAATAGTAATGTTGTGTCACTTCCTTGATTCCCGAAATTTTCAGTGCCGCCCTCGTACTTTTTATATTTTTAATGTTTGAAATATTTTGTAGTTTCGTTGTAAAACGAAGACAAAAATCACTTGATCGTTACTTTTCGGAAAAAGGGTTGTGAATATTGGTGATTTGCCATTATTATATAGATAATATGATACATCCCTTCAAGCCAGATATTAAATTAAGAACTAGACTATTATAATAAAAATAAAAAAGTTAAAATTCGTTTTCCTGTTCACACAAACAGTGATCAGATTTGTCCGAAATGAGTTGATTTCGCGCACGGGGCCTTAATCCATTCAAACAGCTACAAATAACTGAAAAAATAACTAAAAAGAATAAAATCAGTCGTGGCTTTAATTTTTCTATAAACTGTTTCAAATTTACTTAAGAATGTGGAATTATTTTATTATTTTTAGTTCTTTCAATGTAATAAAATATTATTCTTTCAGACTCAACCCTGCATACAAGTCATTTTTCTTTTTTAATGAAAAGGAAGTTCCAGGCGTCGTACGTCCACAATGCGCAGCAAGCGTGACTTGCGGCACAAGTTACGATATTTGAAATTGTAGCGGAATGGCAATATCGGACTACAGTGATTTATGGGGTTTTCTTTTATACGTCCTACAAGATGCGCGCCTACTCCTCTTAGTTGCAGTTAATTATTGTAATAAAAAATAATGGTAAAGTGGGTCTAGGCAAAAGTTACTAGGTAAATGATTTTTTGAGTAAGTAGTATTAATTAGCATTATTAGTATTAATTAACATAGAAACAGTAGCCTAATAGCAGGGCGCGGACCGCGAACTCAAAAAGGTCGTGGGTTCGAATCCACCATTCGACTACTGGCGTGAACCACTCGTAACACAAGCAATTTAAGCTTACCACGAGTGGTTAAGGGGAATATTAGTAATGTTTATAGCATTGTTAATATTCTTTCTTTTAAATAAAAAAAATCTTATGAGGTACATACTACACACCTGTTAATACAGGTGGTCATTATGGTCATATAACATATAATGTAATGCATTATTATTACGCAACTTGTAACTTATGCGGAAACTATGCAACAGTATTGGCAAAAGGTATGTGAGAGAAAGGACGCTCCTCAGATAACATAACAATTTCCTAACTTTAGGTTATAATGATATTTCATTGCACTACATAAAGTTCAATTTAATTTTTTATTTTATTTCATGTTTTAATTTATATTCTGCTGTTTACAAGAGTATATTTGAAACAACCGTTTTGTGCTATTAGTAATTAGAATAACGTCGATTGTCAGTTAATGACAATCAATAATACAACAGGTGCCGG